ATGAGTATTAGGAAGAACCTCAAAAGAAATTTATTTCACTAAAATTTTGACTATGTTACAAAAATACATAGCCAGTGGTAAGTCAGTAAATCTGTAATAACATTTAGACCTCTAAAATTACTGTACATTTCATATCCTATTTTTAACTGGGGGGATGGAATGTACAATTAAGTGTACAGCTGGGATTTCATTTACTTTAAAAAAAAAATCTTGCTGATGTTTTAACGGTCAGAAGTTTTTTTTAAGTCATACTGGCAAGTAATTATCTTTTCATGTCTAAATATAATTCTCAACCAGCTCCTCTATTAAATCAATACAAGGAAGCACTTCTGTATTATCCTGGCCTTAGTGCAAGTTTTTCTTTTTAGCTGTTGAATACAGTTAAGAATCCATTTTTGAAATACAGCTGTCTACAGATTTAAAGTACCTAAACTGAATGCAGAGAGAATTCATTGGCATATCATTATATTTTTTGACTTAAAAATTCCTTTAAGTCTCTTACAAACATGTGAAGAACGACATATACTTTGCTAAACACCATGACAATGATAAAAAAACTACTGATCACTCACAAAAAATTTTATAGCAAAAAAAAAAAAGTAAATTCAAGATGCAAAAAACAAGGAGAGCTTATTTTTAAAGAAAATTTTAGATAACAGTGCTTCAAATTCTCAAGGAAATGAAAATAAACAAGAAGGGCATAAAAAAATAACGCAATAAAATGAAATTAAAAGAATGCCTGGAGATTTAAGAGGGAAAAAATTGAAAAGAAAATAATACTTGCATAGAACCAACATAAGCATCAGAAACAAGAAGGAACAGAAGCATTGGCGACAAGTTAGCCACTGATCTGAAGGCAGATTTAAAAAATCATGCACAGTAGAGAGGATAGCTAAACACGTCTAGAGAGAAAAAAGACACATATAAAGTAACAGAGAGCTAACAGGAACAACTGGTATCCCCAAAGTACTGAACTTTTAAAAATCAGGAATCATAAAAGAAAATTTCTTGAAGTAGAGAAAGAACCAAAAATACATATGAAAAAAAGCTCAGTATTTTCAGAGGGAAAAACCTGTGAAAATGATCAAGACCAAGATATATTCTGTTGAATTTATTTATTTCAGTGACAAGGAAAAAATTACTAGCTCCTGCTACATTCATGCAGAAGCAACAAGGCTTCTACAAGGAGAAAAAAAAATCAGGACTAACAGTTGTATTCAGTAACATTCTAGGGAAAAAAATGTAGATTTTTTTGAGGATAGGAAAAGAATATGTAATACAATCATTCTGTACATAGTCAAGTGGCCATTCTTATTCAAAAGCAACAGAAAGGCATGTGTAATGTCCTTACATGGAATAATACAAATAATAATTTGTAGAAAAATCAAATTGAGAATAAGGTTCAATGAACATTCTTAAAGTCCCCTCCTAACATCCCAGGGGCTACAATACAACAGCAAAGACCTAAAATCACAACTCTCATGGATCATTCTAGGGAAGAAGGACAAACAGATAAATATATACATAAATCAAGTATCAGGCAGCCACATGTCCTAGGCAAAGATCTAAAATAACAGGGGCTTGGGTGGCTATTTAAGGTGGTCTCTCTTAGGACACGATGTTTAAGCTGTGAAGTGAATGACCAGGAGCCTTCTGAGCAAAGCTCATGAAAAACAGCACTTCAGGCAAACTGAAAGGATTAGTTTCATACTGAGCTGTTTTTAAATAAAAAGAAAATACAGCACATCATGAAGGGCTTTTCATAATTAAGGCTGAAAGTCTGAATGTGATTCTAAATGGACTGGGAAGCTCAACAGAGGATTTAAGCAGCAGAGAGCATGACCTGCTTTGTTTTAAAAGGTTCACTCCAGGGCTTTATGGAAACAAGATGGTAGGAAATGGGAGGTGTAGGCGGGGAAACAGGGAGACCAGGAGGGTGGAGATGGCAAGAAAAAGAAAGAGATGGATTCCCGGTATGCTTTGGAGGTGAAGCTGAAGGAATGTGCTGACAGACTGACTCTGTCAACTAAAAGAAGAAATCATGGGTAATGCCCAGATTTTTGGCTTGGCTAACTGCTCATCAAATGTGGTAAGGCAGAAGGAAGAGCAGGTTTGGGAAGACAAGTCAATCTGTGGATTCAAATTATATTATTATGAAGATGCTGCTTGGGAAGCCCACATCCCATACTGACCTACCTAAGTTTGAGTTCTGGCTCTGGTCCCAAATCCAGCTTCCTGCTAATATGCACCCTGAGAGATACTAGGTTCAAGTACTCGGGTTCCTGCCACTCACTGAGTTCTGGGCTGCAGACTTCAGTCTGGCTCAGCCTCAGCTACTGTAGGCTATTGGGAAGTGAACCAGCAGAATGAAGATCTCCCTCTGTCCTCCAAATTAAAAAAAAAAAAAATTATACTATTCCTAATACTTATAGGAAAATCTATTTGATATCATTCATCTTTTGATACTGGACACAAAATAAGTAAGAAGGCATAAAAAGACCAATAGTGGGCACTGAATCCATTTATCATAAAACTAAGTCTAGGGGGCCGGTGTTGTGGTGTGGCAGGTTAAGTCTCTGCCTGTGATGCCAGCATTCCATATGGGCGCTAGTTCAAGACCTGGCTGCTCTATGTCCGATCCAGCTCCCTGCTCATGTGCCTGGGAAAGCAGCAGAGGATGGCCCAAATCCTTGGGCCCCTGCATCCAGGTGGGAGATCTGGAAGAAGCTCCTGGCTCCTGGCTCCTGGCTTCAGAAAGGCGCAGCTCTGGCCATCGTGGCCATCTGGAGAGTGAACCAGTGGATGGAAGACTTCTCCCTCTCTCTCTGCCTCTGCCTCTCTGTAACTCTGCTGTTCAAATAAATAATTCTGCAAGAAAAAAATGTTTCTAGGGCTACTACAAATTTGCATTTACAAAATAGTTGATAAAAATATTCCTCTGGACTGTGCAAGTAGGCAGAGACACTGATAAGATATGGTGTATGATGTTAATCAGACTCAGCTTCTTTCTCTGCCACTTCATTGGAGGCTGGCCTCTCCTCATTTTTAGATTCTCCACTTTCTTCAGGCAAATCTTCAGTTTCTTGGTGAGACACCTTGGCCAGTTTTCCCTCTCTCCTTTCTTCCCTTTTGTTTGCACTTTATTGTCCAAAGACTTATCCTTCCTAGCTGTCTTTTCTGGCTTTGTTTCAGCTCAGGCAGGAGCAGGCTTAGCCAACAATCTTGCCAATCCCCTTTTAGGCCCTTCCTCGCTACCCCTTTGGCCAAGCTGACCTTGATCTTGGGTATCTTAGTGGCAGGGAGGGCGCTAGCTGGGTGTCTACTGGCCACGTGCATTTATGAAGCTGAGTCAACAGGCTGGTGCCTCTGGGGCAGTTTAACCATTACTCAATCTTTAGTTATGAGTAACCTCTACTAACATAAAATCAGTAGGTTTTACAAACAAGGTAATAAGAAATTCTATCCTTTCAAAGGCTCTTAGGAATGCAACACTTAATCCTTATATGTTAAGTAATATCATATACATGATACATTTTTCTTTTTTGACAGAATTGCCTTCGTATATTGTTCTAATAATATACAGCTTACTGACAAGTTAAAATTGCAGGATTTAAAAAATTAATTAATTCAAGATATGTATGATAACTAAAAGTCATATCCTCAAGTCAAATAAGTACAACTGTGTTTTTCAAACCCAGTGCACACTGAAGGCAGAAAAAGAATAAACACCTTTGTCTCCTCTGAGATCCAGCCCAGCATCTGGACTACAGCCACCCCCTGAACTCCCCAAGGAGAGGCACATGTGTGTATGATTTTGTTATAGTCCCTTCTATTTGTGTCAGTGACATTCTGGAGATCATTATATACACACTGGTGGAACTTAGTAACAAAACTGTTAAATACTATTATTAACAACTTCTACCTACCAGGAGAAAAAGATACAGTATCATATGTGAAAGGGTTTTATTTTTTAAAAAATGTATTCCAGAAAGAGGGAGGGAGAAACACAGAGTGGGCATGCTCCAATTTACTGGTTCATTCCCCAAAAGCCTGCCTGCAAGGGCTGGAGAATGGAGCTGGGAACTCAATCAAGGTCTCCCTTGGGTTTCAGGAACCCAGTAATTGGAGCTATCTCCCAAGGTCTGCATTAGCAAGAAGCTATAGTTGGGAGCAGGACACAGGTATTGAAACCAGGTGTCTTAACTGCTAGGCCAAAGGCCTGCCCTTGAAAGCTTATTTTTAGTGTTCTAGTACATGCTACCTGAGTAATATCATCTTGCATGTAATGATCTAATTACTGAATTATAAAAACATTTTAACTGCTTAAATTAACAAACTGGCATAATTACAGTCACAAAATTACTCCCCATGTCTTGATATGTGAATCAACAGATGATTCTAAATAGTCACCTACCTGGTCAAAAACTACTACTGGTTTTATTAGAAACTTTCATTCTATCAAAAATCATACAATTATTTCAGGTTTTATACAGTTCAGTTTTCAAAGCAAATTGCTCAGTGTGTTTTCAATCACTGACAGACAGGTGTTAATGAAATATGAAGTTAAGACTGTTATTTATTAAATCTAAATCAACCAGCAAGGGAACAACAAACATACAAAATATTATCCCCAATATTATCTGAATACACCCCCAAAAACCAATGAATATTTTCCTAATCAAAATATCCTGAAATGTTCCTATTATTCTTACAAGAAAATTAGTAGTCAGTCAATGCACCTCCTAATTTTTGAATGTGTACATTTTAAATTGTACTTGGCAACAAAACTGTCACATCAAACTTGCCTTTAATATTCACCTTCCACAGAATTCAACGTAACCAAATTGGAGATATTGTACTGACTTGACAGAACTCATAAAAAGACTTATTTTGGGAAGAAAGGAAACAAGAAAGGAAATATAGAAATTTTTTTTAAGTCTTATGCTTATAAACCATGGAAGAAAGGGTTCAAAATTTGTCTTTAGGATTTTAATACATACCAGGCTCCAGTTTGATGATTTTTACTGCAGCCAACTCTCCTGTATGTACATTTCTGGCCTAAAAGTGAAAATACAAAATTTTTGAAGTTTGTTAACGATACATAAACTACTTAGCACTATGTTAAATGCTCATCAACAATGCTTCTAACAAAGCTAAAATACGCCGGCGCCGCGGCTCACTAGGCTAATCCTCCGCCTAGCGGCGCCGGCACACCGGGTTCTAGTCCCAGTCGGGGCGCCGGATTCTGTCCCGGTTGCCCCTCTTCCAAGCCAGCCCTCTGCTGTGGCCAGGGAGTGCAGTGGAGGATGGCCCAGGTGCTTGGGCCCTGCACCCCATGGGAGACCAGGAAAAGCACCTGGCTCCTGGCTCCTGCCATCGGATCAGCGAGGTGCGCCGGCCGCAGCGCGCCGGCCGCGGCGGCCATTGGAGGGTGAACCAACGGCAAAGGAAGACCTTTCTCTCTGTCTCTCTCTCTCACTGTCCACTCTGCCTGTCAAAAATAAAAAAAAAAAAAAAAAAAAGCTAAAATACAAAATCTTTGTTTCTAAATAAAAAGTTAGTGTATTCATTTCCTCATTAAAGAAAATATAGAAAAGACATAAAAAGTATAAAAAATTACCTTTAATCCTACCACTTGAAAACAGTTACTGTATAAAATTTTGGCATATATCTTCCTTTTATAAACATTTTGTTAATTTTTTAAATTAAAAAATGCCATAGTTTTTATTTATATTATAAACATAATTATACTGATTGAGGGAAAAACTTTAAAAGTCATCTGTAGCTACACACACAGGGAAAAATAGTTCACCTTTTAGTGTTCCTCTTCCCCACCCCATACGTGCACGTACTTGTGTGTCGAAGAGGATGATACCATCAGAGTCATCTACAGTGAGGATTAGAAATGCTGCTTCATTCTCCACTGACAGAATATGTAATTTATTTCATCAACTCTCTATTGTTAGATATAGCCTAATATTATTTTGCAATTACATAAAGACAAACTTATCTTCATTTTACAACTGTCAAAAGTCTTGATTATTTCCTACAGATTGCTAAAAGAGAAACTATTTGGTATCTAACAAAATCAAGCTGGAGGAATAGGAACTCACTGCTCTGGTCTAGGGGAAGAGAGCTTAAAAAAAAAAAAAGTGGAGAGACTGCAATTTCAGGTAAGCATTAGGGAGAAAACTGCAGAGGAAATGCCACGCAAATTAGAGGGACACTGTGGATCTACGCAGAGGGTGTAGGTGTGCACAACTCAGAACCCCAGCAGCAGCCTCAGGATCAGCTCTGGAGAGTGAGGTGAGACCAGACTGTAGCAGCCCAAGCCACTGGCAATAAAGCTGTGGGAAGAGCCTGACATGAGTATGGCCTGCCAAACTAGAAGAACAAAAGGGGGCATGTTTCTCCCTGACCACCCAGAAATGGTGTCCTGTAACCAGCAGAGAGGGGGTGGGTGCCATTTTGACAACCATCCAAGAGGAAACTCCTAAGTTGGCTTGGAGAATTGATGAGGGGCTGGGTGCTCCTGATTGTGGGAGCCTTGTGTGCTGGGCCTGTGAAACACTGTGGTTGCGTGGGAGGGCACAGGGTGTGGCTGGGTCTTTGGGTAGTTCCTATGGGTGACTCCACATGCTCGGGGCTCCTTGATTCCCTGGTGAGGGTCATTGCTGTGGGATTTGTGCTCACACCAAGGACTGTAGAAATCTTTTGTGTGGTTCTTGTGGCAGTGCAAATGAATACTGTATGCAGTGGGGCTAATGCCCAGACAACGGTCTCCCTGGAGGAGAGGTGAGCGTGAGACTCCACCAACAGAGATGTGATTAAAAAAAAAAAGATTTACTACACCAAACTTGGGTGTCACCTTGGACACTCCCCTCAACCTGGATCACTAAACAGAGCTCCCTAGCTAAACCCAGCACACTGAAATACCACACATTCCACTAAAGCTATAGAGACACAGTTCAAAGATAAAAGCCACCACACGGAAAAAAAACAACAAAAACCAACAAATATCTCCACAAATGATTAAAAATAAATACAGCAATTCAAGAAACAAGAATAAAGAAGACAACATGATGCCCCAAAAGGAACATAACACTTCAGTTCTAGAATGTGAAGATGAAGGGACTGAAGAAATGCTGGAAATGATTTAAAAAAATGGATTATAGGATTACTTACAAATAATCAGAAGCAAATCCATGAATTAAAGAAATCAATACATGACATGAATGAAAGTTCTTACCAACCATGAAACTGATATTTTTAAAGAGAAATCAAAAGGAAATAATGGAAATGGGGCCAGCGCCATGGCTCAATAGGCTATTCCTCCACCTTACAGCGCCGGCACACTGGGTTCTAGTCCCGGTCGGGGCACCGGATTCTGTCCCGGTTGCCCCACTTCCAGGTCAGCTCTCTACTGTGGCCCAGGAGTGCAGTGGAGGATGGCCCAAGTGCTTGGGCCCTGCACCCACACGGGAGACCAGGAGAAGCACCTGGCTCCTGGCTTTGGATCAGCACGGTGCGCCGGCTGCAGCGCGCCGGCCGTGGGGGTCATTGGAGGGTGAACCAACGGCAAAGGAAGACCTTTCTCTTTTTGTCTCTCTCTCTCACTGTCCACTCTGCCTGTCAAAAATTTTAAAAAAATAAATAAATAAAAAAAAGAAATAATGAAAATGAAGAATTTAATGGATCAAATAAAGAATTTGGTGGAAAGCCTAACAACAGAATCAGTGAGGCAGAAGAATGACTATCTGACTTAGAAAACAGATATCTGGAAATTTTGCAGTCAAACAAACAAAAAAAGAAATTAGAAAACTAAAAAACTGTTGGAGATTTATGGGATACTATTAAATGACCCAATATATGGGTCATAAGAGTTCCTGAAGACATGGAAAGAGACAATGGATTAGAAGGTCTTTTTAGTGAAATAATTACAGGAAACTTCCCTAATTTGGAAAAAGAAAGGGACATGCAAGTACAGGAAGTACATAAAACTTCTAACAGACATGACCAGAAAAAAAATCTTCACCACGACTCACTGTAGTCAAACTCTCCACAATAAAACATAAAGATTCTAAAATGTGCATGAAAGAAATGCCAGATTAGACTCACAGCTGAGTTCTCAACAGAAACCCTACAGGCGAGGAGAGAATGGTGAAATACTTAAGAAGTTTTAAGAGAAAAAAACTGTCAATCCAGAGTACTATACCCTGCAAAGCTCTCGTCTATGAATGAAGGTGAAATAAAGACCTTCCATAATAAACAGAAATTTAAAGAATTTGTCACCACTTGTCTAACCTTACAAAAGATGCTTAAGGATGTGCTGCATACAGAAACACAGAAACACAGTCACCACTATGAAAAAAGGTGAGGCAGAAAACCCCCCAGTGAAAATACAAAGAAAACCCAAAGTAAACAACAGGAATTTTTATGGAAAAATGGCAGGGCAAAGTCATTACGTATCAATAGTCACCTTGAATGTAAATGGCCTCAACTCTCCAGTTAAAAGATACATACTGTCAGAATGGATTAAAAAACAAAACACATTATTTGCTGCCTACAAGAAACATCTCACCAACAAAGACACACACACACACACACACACACACACACACACAGGGAAGGATGGAAAAAGATATTCCATGCTGACAGAAGCCAAAAAAGAGCTGGTGGAGCTATCCTAATACCAGACAAAATAGACTTTAACACAAAAACTGTTATAAGAGACAAAGAAGGGCACTATGTAATGATTAAGGGATCAATTCAACAGGAAGATGTGACTATTATAAATGTACATGCCCCTAATTACAGGGCACCTGGCTTTTTTAAAGAAATGTTAATGGATCTAAAGGGAGACAGACTCCATTACAATAGTAATGGAGGACTTTAATACTCCACTTTCAGCAATCGACAGATCAACCAGACAGAAAATCAGCAAGGAAACAGACTTAATCAACACTATAGATTTAATGGACCTAGTGGATATCTAAAGAACTTTTCATCCTACAGACGCGGAATACACATTTTTTTCACCAATCCATGTAACTTTCTCTACAACAGATCACATGCTAGGCCATAAAGCAAGTCTCAGCAAATTCAACAAAATCAAATCATATCATACATCTTCTTTGACCACAATGGGATGACGTTGGAAATTAACAAAATCTCTAGAATACATGCAAACACATGGAGACTGAACAACACGCTCCTGAATGAACAGTGAGTTATTGAAGAAATCAAAAGAGAAGTTAAAAAATTTATGGAAATGAATAAAGACAATACAACATATCAAAATTCATACGATACAGCAAAAGCAGTGTTTAAGAGGAAAGATTATAGCAACTGGTACCTACATCAAGAAATTAGAAAGGTACCAAATAAATGCGCTACCAATGCATTTCAAGGACCTAGAAAAACAACAGCAAACCAAACCCAAAACCAGTAGGAGAAAAGAAATAATTAAAATTAGAGAAGAAATCAACAAAAATGAAATAAAAAATATGAAAGATCAAAATGAAGAGCTGTTTTTTTGAAAAAATAAACAAAATTGACACACCTTTGGCCTAACTAACCAAAAAAGGGAAAGACCCAAATCAGTAAAATTAGAGATGAAAAGGGAAATGCAACAACAGTCACCACAAAAATAAAAAGAACCATCAGAAATTACTACAAAGGGCTGTATGCCAACAACTCAGGACACTTAGAAGAAATGGATAGATTCCTGGACACATCCAACCTAACTAAATTGAGTCACGAACACACACAAAAAAACTAAACAGATCTATAACCAAGGTGGAAATTGAATCAGATACAGACACTCCCAGCAAAGAAAATCCCAGGACCAGATGGCTTCACTGCTGAATTCTACCAGACATTTAAAGAAGAACTGACTACAATTCTTCTCAAGCTATTAAAAACAACTGAAAGGGAGGGAATCCTCCCAAACTGCTTCTATTAAAGCAAGCATCACCTTAATTCATAAAGCTGAAAAAATGCAACAGAGAAAGAGAACTACAGACCAATTTCTCTGATGAACATATACTCAAAAATTC